CAGCTGGTGGAAGGGGCGGGTACCCGCCGGGCCGGCGAGTTTCTGGCAAAGCGGATTAACGGATACGGGAGCTCTCCTCCGGGCTGCTCCCGGTTATCCCGGGATCGGATGCGGCCCCGCTTGGGCCAGACCGCTGCAGCCTGAGAAGTAAAAGCCCGATAAGACTGAATCGCAGCCAGGCTCTCAGACAGGCCCGGTGGCTCAGTCAGTGATTTGAGGGTGTGAATTCTGGCACACAAATACAGTTTTAAGGCCTTTATCTCCTGCCGTGTGCTCTTTGCCCCGTGCAGCAGCAGTGCTGCGGCAGGCAGGAGTACCCGTCTCGCCTGGGGCTTTGCACAAACACAACCTTCGTTCCTAAAACTGAGAGCCAGGCTGGGGGGATCCCCGCAACGCACCCTGCCAGGCCACCCGTCTGGGCTGCAGCCTCCAAAGGCTGCAGAGGCCAGGGCAAGCATGCTGCCTGGCGCCAGCCGTGGGCCACAATACAGCACAACTGCGCTGTTTAAAGTTGGTACTAAAAGAAAGTTTGTATGGGGAGATGGAAGGTGAGGTATCTTATAACTGTTTGTTCTCTTACCACAGTACATAGCTGTGCACATCATACCTGATCAGATGATGTCCTTTGGGGGCTCCACTGATCCCTGTGCGCTCTGCAGCCTTTACAGCATCGGCAAAATAGGAGGGCAGCAGAACAAGACTTACACCAAGCTTCTGTGTGATCTGATCTCTAAGCACTTGCATGTATCTGCAGACAGGTAAGGCTGGGACGTGATGTTAACAACCTTGTTTATCTGTCTCTCTGAAACTACTTTGAAAAGTTCATTTAAAAATACAAGAAGCCGGGAATAAGCCTATGTATTGGAGAAAATACAAAGTGATCTGCAGCATTTTCATGTCCAGTTAAAACTTTGATGCCTGCGTCCTCTGTTACATGGCTTCCTGTTGTCAGAGTAGGGGAAAAATCCCAGAGGACTGACAAAGTTGTAGAGCGTGTCTTTTGCCTTTGAGGTGCGATGTCTTGTCCTCTGGCGAAGAGAGACTGAAAGCACAAGGGAGGAGCAGTAAGAGGCTGGAGCTGACAGGCCAAGTAGAAAGCAGCAGACTGTGAACAGCTTCCTTGCAGGCTGTGGGGCCTTGGGAGCGTCTGCATGCAGCAGTGAAGGATGGGAAGAACCTGCTGCCACTGAGTGCTGGGGTTAGAAGGGAAAAGAGCAGAGCCAGCCCCGGGGCCTGCTTGGCTTTCCTAAGGCTGCCTGTCTGTTTGACACGTGTGATGGACCGCAGAGCTTGGAAACAAAAGGTTTTGATCTCCGGAAATTCTTGACAGGCTGCTCACCAGAACCTGTCTGGTGTCTGAACAGACCCTGCCTGGAGAAGGATTTGTATTTAAAAAAAAAAAAGAAAATAGTATAATTCCAGGTATTCCAAATAACATTGATTTTTGGAGGCCCTGCCAGAGAAGTTAGCTAGATTTCAGTAAAAATTTAGCTTGAAAATTCTGGGGAATAGGAAGCACTGTCTGCTGTCGTCTGTTGTCCTGTCTCGCTCATTACTTATATAAATGAGTTAATAAGGTTATTGTTTGTGTGTTCCTGTGCCTCTTCTGCAGGGTGTACATCAACTACTTCGACATGAACGCTGCCAATGTAGGCTGGAATGGTTCCACCTTTGCGTAGAGCCCTGCCATGTGTCTGAAGAGGCTGCTCCTGGACCTGCCCTCCTCCTGCCCCTCTGCAGAGACCACCACACAAATGGCCCCGTGTTGCGTTTTGTGCACTCTCACAGATTGATGGATCCTTGCTAGTGTGTTTAAATATTGCTGCTTCAACATTCCTCTGTTTTCTTTGTGTAGAAAACAAATAAAGATTTAGAAGTAAGCTGTCTGGTGTTGGCTTTGGCAGGTTGGAGATGGAGTTAATAATCGGCAACATATCTCTCTCACTCTGATTGCTAAAGCAAAGGGAACACTTTGGGTTTGTTTCCATTTCTCAAACCTGGTATTTCACAGTATGGTTATACTGAGCAGCAGCTGACTGACAGGTGATTTTTACCTTGCTGTAGGTGCCTTCAGGGCTCCTTGTTGCTCTGAGTTTCTTCTGGCTACATCCTCTGTTGCCACAGCAGAAGCAGTCCGTGGGCCAGCCCTGTGCCTGCTGCTTCAGAGAAGCTTTCCTCTAACAACGTGCCAGCTGTGTGGGGCCAAGCAAGCAGGGAAGGAGTCCGTTTGCTCACTAAGTCAAAATGCTGCTATCCGCATTGCTTATGCTGGCTCCCTTCAGGCAGCCAGGGACGGCCCTCGCTGCTGTGGGAGCCGTGCAGGAGCCTGTGGCTGCTGTGGTAAGCCTCTGTGCTGTCTGCCAGCCTGTCCCCCCAGTGATGCTGTGCCCTCCTGGGCCTCGGTGTCTCAGGGCCAGCCTCCCGCCATGCGGGGCTGGGCCGCGACTGAGGCGCTTTTCTCCCCTCACCAATTTGCTTCCCGGCCACACACCTCCATGCGCCGTCTTTCTTTGCAGTGTCACGTAACTTTTCAGTGTTTTGTACAAGACTAGGGGCAGGGGAAAAATCAAGTAAGTAAAACTGCTTTAGCTTTGGTTTAAGAATTAATGGAATTATTCAGGTTTGATTTGCTGGGTAAGATGTACCGTTCTCCGTGTCTAGCAGCTCTCTGAATCTTCTTAATGGACAGATAATGAAAATATTTCTCTTTTTTCTCTGTGTTTCCTAAGTATTCCTGAGTTTCAGAAAAACAAAAAGCTGGAGGACCAAGAAATTTGTAAATTAGTTTAGCTTCTCACCAATAAAGTATTCTCTAGGGTACTAACATTTTCTGTTGTAGTCATAAAGATACTTTTTTCTGTTGCTGTTCATCTGTTAAAGCTATTATTTTTTTTGCTTCTGAATTCGGAGGCTTCTTTTCTGCTTGCAAGATTCATTTCGTTGTTTTATTGCCTACGTTTTTCTCTCTCTGTCTTCTGCATTGTATTTTAAGCTCCTAAAGTAAGTGCAGGCGAAGGCCCGGCAGCTGAGGAAGCAGCAGCAGCAGGAGGAGGCGCGGCCCGAGGGAGGGGAAGGGCATCTCCCAGGAGGAGCCGACCCGGGGGCCGCGGGGCTGAGCCCCCGGGGTGAACCCGGGGAAAGAAGGAGGAAGAGGAAGGGGGAGAGCGAAGAGCAGGCCTGTGCGCAGGGACAGAAGAAGCTAAAGAAGAAACAACAGTCTGGCAGCTCTTCTGAAGAATGGGCGGATGCTGAGGAGGCAGCAGGTGGCGGCACTTCATCGAAGAAGAAGAAAGAAAATAGAAGAAAATCGAAAGTGCCGCAAGAGAAGACTGACGCAGGTAACAATAAACTGAGGCTGTAGGATTTAGGTTCATTGTGGTTGACAGTTCTCAGCAGAGACAGTAGACACAAGTTGCTCTTTGAGTAAGTTGTTGAAATTGTCTGGTGGTAAATTTTGTTTTCCTCTGCTTAATATGTTCCCAAAGTAATTTCTTTTTTTTTTAGGGTAAAGCTCCGTATTGTAAACTTTGAGGATCAGTTTAGTGTAAGGGTTGAAGCATGTCACCTCAGTCTTCAGTTGCCTCTATACCAGCGAAGAAATGTTTCGCCTTTGCACTTGGATTTAGAAAGAGGAGCTTGCAAGTTGTTGCTCAAGTCCTCCGTTGTAAAATGTTCCCTACCTCACTTTTCTGTAGCGTGGACTGACCTGTAGCTTTCTATTCCTGTTGTTCAAATTCCAGATTCTGAAGAAGACACCAAACAACAGGAAAACAGAAGCAACCTTAAGAATAAGTCTTCTAAAAGGAAGAAGAGGGATGAGGAAACAGAGGAAGCTGAAACAAGGAAGAAAGACAACAGTGGAAGAGCTGAAGGAGATCAAAGCACAAAGGAGGAGCTGTCCTTAGCAGCCTCAGAGGAAGAGGCAAATCCTCCACCCTCCAGTTTCGTGGTTCTTGGAGACTACGACAGAAAGCCAGTGCAGAAGGTAACTAGCTTGACTGAATTTTGATGACGGTCAGGAAGGAACTCACATCTTACCAGCTTATTTTGTGTATGGTATTGCCTGTTTAACAGCAAAAATGCTTTGTTATTCTCCTTTCCCCCACCTCAGGTTCGGCCCTTCTTACCGCAGTGGCTCGCTGAACCCAAACTAGTGCAAAAACGTATCAAAGATAATCTAGTTCCAATCAGAGACGTCCCAGGAATTCATCCCAGGCTGTTGAAAAAGCTGCAAATGAATGGGATAGAGTCCTTCTTTCCAGGTACCTTCACAGTGCTTTTGTGTCTTTCTAGACTGACTTACGTAGTTCCTGCAGTCTGTTGCTGTATATTTTATGTAGTCAGTGAAGTAAAATGTAGAGCAAAACCAAGTTTAATCCATCAAAGTGATTGTACCATTTTTAACCCTTTGCTTTCAAAGCTTTAGTTAGGCAGAGCAATGGAAGTCTGTTACCTAGTCATAAATGCAGCTCCACAAAATACGGTGACTTGGAAGTAATAGCTCACAGCTGCCAAAGAGGGAGGTCTTACTTGTGTCCTCACATGTATGATGTCAGGCATGTGTTTTAGTTCTTTAGCTTCTACCGTCTCTGCTTCTAATGAGACCTCTCTGGGAACCTGTTCAACTCATTAAAGCAGCAGAAAACTGTTCAAGCAAAATGAAAAAAATGCTGTTGCTTTCACATTATTTTACCAGTTTTGCGGACAAGTACAATAAATACCAGCTTCTAAATAAGGAGAAAGTACGGCTGGAAGCAGGGATAAGGAAAGGGAGAGAAGGCAAGAAGGTGGGATCTCCGACCTTCAGCCAGTTACTTGGTCCAGCTAAGCTTGGAGGCTTAGACTGCGTCAGAGACTCGTCAAGGTTACATTGGAAAGCCAGCATGTGTTTTCTCTTTTTAAGTACGCTGTTACATTATGTTTTAATGTAAGTGCTATCGCTTATTTTGTTCTGGGAGATCTTAACAGGTTTCCGATAGCAACTTCTTGTGGTTTTTCATAAATCAAGTCCAGCTTATAGCACTTGGTAGTAGATAAATCAAACAGTGGCATGCTCTGTCTGCCAGAGATAGTGTCCACTGAAGTCATACGTCGTATGCGTCACTGAGTATGGTCTTGTCACAGAGCTAGATCCCCTGGCTGCTAAACCTCATAAACTGAAGTTGGCCAGTTTTTCAGGGCTTCTTGTGGGGCAGGGAAAGGAGAGAGTTCATGGATGACAGACAAAGCTGTTGTATGTACAGGACTGTTTCTGTCAGTCCTCGTGTACTCTCCTGCAGCAAACGTGACTTACTCCAAACTCCACAGTAGTTGCGCATTTTGCTCCTTGGCAGATAATGCTGCTTTGCCATGTTGCATATTTTGTGTTTATGTAAGAGTAGTTTGTGCTTCAAAGAAAGCATGCTTACAGACAAATACTCATAGGTTTTAAATCTGCCCAGTGCCATCTGAACATGAGAAAAAGAAAACAGATATGAGTATAAAACAATATTTAACACAGTAACATCCTAGCTGAGCACTAGAAATAGCTGAATTCTTGCAGAGGGTATTTGATGTATTGAATGAATGCTCTGTATTCAATGCTAAGCTCCCATGAGTCAACGAGAATCAGGTGAAGCCAGATAGCATTGTTATTTTAGGTCTATAACAACAGGAGCACAGATGTGGAAACAGATTCATTGTATACAAGTGCTCTTCTGGATGCAGTGGTTTTAGCCCAGTTAACTCTGTAGTTAATGTGTCTTTCCATTTTTGTTCAGTTCAGGCAGAGGTTATTCCTGCTATTCTCCAGAGTGCATCCAATGGGTATTTGATGGGGCAGGGAGGATACCGCCCCAAAGACATCTGTGTCTCGGCACCTACTGGCAGTGGTAAAACCCTGTCTTTTGTCATACCCATAGTACAGGTGAGTTTATCCTCAGTGAAATATCTGTAGGGAAGATACTGGGGTTGCTTTTGTTCAAGCGAAACCTGAACTAGGGAGCTGTGAGCTCCCCTGAACCCGAGTAGGTTAAAAAGCCAAGGAATTTGTGGCTGCAAAGCAGCAGATTTTTAGCTCAGAGCTGTCTGAGGGAGCTCTGTGAGTCCCCCTCACCTCAGCACCCCACTCCTTTTCTCAGACAGGAGGCATAGCGTTAGGAGTGGGGAGGGTGGAGGGGGAGTAAAGTGGAAGTGTAAAACTCTGTGAGGATGTGTCAAGCCCATCTCTTCTCACTAGGTTAGATATGAGAACCCCCTTCTCTCCCCACCACTTTCAGGGACTCATTTGGCCTTTGTTTTGACAGGTTCTGCTACATCGAGTAGTTTGCCAAGTACGAGCTCTGGTTGTTTTGCCCACCAAAGAACTGGCACAACAGGTATGTGGCTCTTCACCTTCTCTCTGAGCAGAACTGGGCCAAGACAAAGGCTGGTACAGTCAATGCTTTGCTTGGCTCTTCTGTGAAGCGGGTTGAAGACCTGTCAGGGGATTTGATGTTGTGAGCATAATGGAAAGTATTATTTTAACTGATTCTGTTGTGGCTAACAAAGCCTATCTCTTTGCAGGTGAGTAAAGTGTTCAACATTTATACTGACGGGACAGGTCTGAAGGTCGTTTTGATTACTGGCCAGAAATCTTTTGCAAAGGAGCAGGAGATGCTTGTCCAGAAAAAGTAGGTTAAAAGGTCTTTTGATAAGGTTTCTAGAGATTGTAAACTATTTAATCTCAGTAAGCAGAGGTCAAAATATAGGCTGTTGCATCACGCCGTCATGCAATAATGATTTTGGATAGTGAGTTTATGTGTCAGGCACTGGTGGTTCTGTCTTCGTCACAGTGCCTGCTACTATCTCTGTTTTGTGATTGTTATGTTTTACTAGATTTTTGGGGTTCTTCACCAGCTGAGTAGAATGCAAACGTTTACCTTATACCCACAGGTACCAATGACTGTTACAGAATTTTGCTGCAACTAAGCTTTTTTTAAGAGCAATGAAGAATGATGTTTTTCGTTTAAAAGAGGGTTGTGTCCAGCACTGCCTTTGCATGCTTTCCAAAGTAAAGTGCATGTTTGAATTTTGCTATTTCTCAGCTAAGTGAAAAGTAGGAAAATCTTAAGGTCTGCTGCCAAGGATCTGTGTTGTGTGCTTTATGGTGTAGGGAGAAACTTTCTGATGGGCTGCTTGTTCTTTCAGAGTGACAGGCTACTGCAGCCTGGCTGATATTATTGTGGCTACACCAGGGCGGCTCACAGATCACATTAGCCAGACCCCGGGGTTCAGCCTGACGCAGCTTCGCTTCCTGGTGAGTCAACTCCACAGGTCTCCCATCTTAGCGCAGTGGCCATTACAGCTGTAATTCCTGCTTTGTTCTTGCATAGTACATAAATACATCTCTGTTGGAACTGTTGTATGGACCTTGTCTACACTCTGGATTGCTCAGGCAGCGATCTCGAGATTAGAAGTTTTATTCCAACTCATGACACCCAAGTATCCACCCACTTGCCCTTCTCTTAGCCTCTTGCGAACACACACTCAGAGTAAAGCCTTATCGGTCAAGGTCGGTAAGTTATCAGTGTAGTAGCTTCCACCATATGGGAGACTGCAGAGACACAGTTGCAGTCTTATTGAGGATATGGAAACTTTTATTTCTTATTCAGAGATGCGGATTGGATTTATGTGCAAATGAGTTTGTAGTTTCAGTGTCAGGCTGACTGCTGACCCACTGAAACAAGCAAAATCAGTTTTGGGGTAGAAACTTCTGCTTTCATTTGATAATGATAATACTACGACAGGAAAATAAAAGCTGCCTAATGCTAGATAGTATTTAACAAGTAGTGTTTTTCGTCCTTGTGACTTCAGATCATAGATGAAGCTGACCGTATGATCGATGACATGCACCAGAACTGTCTGAACCAAATCGTCAAAGCTGCATTCCAAGTGGAAAACGACTCTGGCTCCAACATGCTTTTTCAGAGGACCAAACCAGGGCCTATAACAGCAGCCAGGTAAGTTGCCAAACGCATTTCTTTGAAGTGGTGGCACAGACACCGGCACCTAGATGCCACTGCCCTGCTTCACAGTACTCCCTCACAGGAACTCTCAAAACTTGCTTACCCCAAGAAATGTCTGCCGAAGTAAGGTAGCTTCTTTTTCAAAGCTTGAAAAAGCAGGCAGTGAACAGCTGATACTAGAGGATGTCTTCTAGACTGAAGCCTAAGTATTGTATTCTCCATCCTTTCCTTAACAAGATGAAAGAAGCATCAAAAGAATGCACAAATATTGCAAGTCTGTGATTCATCTGCACATTAACTATAGTAATGCCCTGTGGCAAGCTGAGTAATGGATTTGAAGGAAAACTCTTGGAATTATCTATCCGCAGCTGCTGTTTTCATACAGCATGGTAGAGATGTGCCAGAAACTGAGATCAGCGGCCAAGGAAGGAAGCAACTAGAATGAGGACGGGGGTAACTAGGGTGCAAGGATCTACGCAGGAGTAATGGATGCGGGTTGTGCAGTTGGTTGAGAGTGCTGATCAGTTCCATCTGTGAACTCCACCTTAAAACAAGGGTGGAAAAGAACCTGCAGGAAAGGCCCAGGGCAGGGAAAAGAGCATCAAAGAGAGTTAATTGCTTCCCTCATAATATCATCTGAAAGTACTTGTGTAGGAACTCCTTTGCCCCATCCTCAAAGCTCAGTTTCTGTATGCTATTTATTTCAGCTCCTGCTATCCTCAGATACCCTTACAGAAACTGCTGTTTTCAGCCACGCTGACCCAGGACCCAGAGAAACTGCAGCAGCTGGACTTATTCCAGCCTCGCCTCTTCACGTCTGTCTATTCTGAGAAAAAAACACTTGGAGATGGAACAGAGACTGAACAAGACACTAAGAAATACACACTCCCCGAGGGGCTATCGGTATGACATTAATTCTCTTGAATAAATTATACTTGAAGATTTGTTTAACTGTGGAGCATCTAGTTATGTTTTTACCCTATAAACAATTATGTCTTCCCTATGATTCTTGGCATTACAGAACTGCTGGGAGAAAGTGGCTTTGGGAGTATTTATGATCGAGAGAGCCTTTGTGCGTTTGTTTTCTCTTTACTTAGAGTTCATTTAGATAAGTCTGGATTTTTTTTTTTTTTTAATTAAACTTCCTGCAAAATTAAGTTTACTGGCAATGTAGTAGAGTAGAGATAGGAAGTGATACTGATGTAGCAGCACTTAATCAACTGTCCATCTCAAAGTATGTTGTACAAATATGCATCACATACCTTTCAAAGCATGTAGATACAGGTCAGCCTGTAGACAAGCGTACTGTAGACCTGCACGCTGTTACTTGCCGTGGAGAAGCGAAAACATTAGAACAACACAGGTCAGCTGTCTCCGGCTTGTGTTGTATCCTCCCAGCCTGTGACTCTGATTGTTCTAAAGGGAGTGGCGTTGTGGGGACTGGTTTTGCTGCTGTTAGTTGCAAAACATCCAAGCCTAGGTAGGTCATGGAAACCTGGTGGGTTTCAGAGGAGATAGGCTTGGCAAGAAGTAATTTTTGTCTCTGAACTTCTTCCCTGTTGACTGCAGCAATGTTACGTGCCTTGTGACCTGAATTCCAAGCCTTTGCTCCTCTTGCATTTCATGCTGACGATGAAATTTACCCGTGTGCTGTGCTTTACCAACTCCAGGGAAGCTTCTCACAGGTGAATATATTAATGAGATCGCTATAGTAGGTATCTGCCAAGTAATGTTAGAGAGGTAATGAAGTGACTGTTTCTATCCCGTTTACTTACAGATTGTTCCTGCTGGTTCAAGCCTTTGGTGGAGTCACTGTGGCTGAATTTTCTTCTCGGTTATCTCCAAATGAGAGACAGAGAACCATGAAGGAATTTGAACAAGGAAAAATACAACTGTAAGCATCATAAATGAGTTTCCTGCGTGTCTTCTACCATAGGCTATCTGTAGTGTGAAAAGCTAGTTAGAACTAAGAACACAGTTAAGTGGGGTCCTCTAAAACAGAGTGTGCAGGAGCCAATTTGCAGAATGGGTGTGAGACTTCAACTTGTGACTTTTGAGTTGTTGCCCCTGCATGTTGACCCAACTTGGCCTATTCTAATCTAGCTGTAATCTGAATTTGTGTGTTATTTCATAACAAGCAGTAAGAGTAACTGCTTGTTCATACAGTTGCCCAAAACACATACAGTTCTGAAAATCTGAAGTTTCGGGGGGTGGGGGGTGGTGTCTGGTGCTTGTTGGAAGAAAACGAATGTTGGTGTTAGAACTATATATAGTATTAGTGTTTCCTACCAAAGAAACCCCTGATCAGACTGGCATATAGGTTTACTTCTATCCACGTGTTTGGTTTGCTTCATGATTTCGGTAGCTGCATGGGATTGCTTCTGTGGAATGTCTCTGAGAGGAAGTTAAATGCTTATTTTCTGGATTTTCTTTTTGTCCAAACCCTGTGTTTACGTTCATCTTTAACTACTGGAACTTTGCACCTCGCTGTCTGTGTTCAGTGCCTTTATGGAATGTTCAGATAGCTTCCAGGTTTGTAACCTCCGATGTGGTGGGAGCCATTTGGCTTAGTGCCGCGTGCTTGGAGAACCTGGAAACACCTGGTAACTTGTCATAGGTGACAAACCTGTAGTGATGCTTGGAAACCTGCGGGCAGCTAGTAATGCCAGTGACAATACAATGTGACTTAGAATGCTGCTGTCGCGCCCAGAGGTCAGAAGCAGGCTGCCCAGTTTGAACAGAGATTAGCAAGAGTTGTGCTGTGTTCACTTGTGTGTGGGTAGTGCAAGAGATGTTACCTGAAAATGACCGTATATATGTTTAAAACCAGGTTAATCAGCACAGATGCCACTGCACGAGGGATTGACATTAAAGGAGTGAATTATGTAATAAACTATGATGCGCCTCAGTTCATCAGGACATATATTCACCGGTAAGAGAATCGGGAACAAAAGGAAGATGTTTGAGCTTGATTTACTTTGAAATATTTAGCGAAGGTGACATGCACTTAAAAGGGGTTTTTAGCTTTGGATTTTTTGTTTACTTAATTATGCAAATAGCTTTCTAATCAAAATTAAGCCCCTAGCATCACCAGAGTAATGCAGTACTGAAACAGAGAACAAGCACCCAATTACAGACAATGTATTTTACAGGAGCTAGGAATAGTCTCCTGAACAGCATCGAGTATTGGGTTTGTAGATGTTCAGAAAATGGCAGCAGCTGAGCAGCTGTGAACGAGCCTTGGAAGTGTTCATCCTTTGTATTATATGGCTAGTCCTGCTGTGCTAACGTTAAAAAAAAGATTGGAATCGGACTTTCTTAAATTTGGAGAATTTCAGAATCGGACTTGGAGCTGATAATGGCAGTGACTACATGGCTAAACTGACCTGATGCTACTTTTTACGTTTTCAGAGTTGGAAGAACGGCTCGTGCAGGAGAAGCGGGCGTCGCTTTCAGCTTGGTCCTTAGAATTCAGGTATGTCGTTGGTGTGGGATTCATTTGATAAGGATGCATGGAGCGGCATAAGGAAAATAAGGTTCATACTACGTCCCACCTTTTCCAGTCAAAGAGCTTTGTACTTGGAAACTTCAATTATTTCTTGACCAGGCAGCACATTCCAAAATGTGCTCATTTTTCCAGCTGATAGGCAGTGGGGTGTCTCATCTCCCGTGTCTGTTTTGTTACACAGGAACGTAGGTTTCTGCGGATGTTGAAGGATGCCGGCATCCAAGACGTAAAGAAGCAACCAGTGAAGGGCAACTCATTAAAGCCGTTGGTGCAGCAATATGAGGAAGCTCTGTGTAAGCTTGAGAAGACAGTCAAGGTAATTGAAACGGGGAAGGAAATAAAAAAAAATAAACTACAATTTGCACAGTTTTATTGCAACTCGTGAGTAGCAGAAGTATTAGTGTCCAGGATCCTTTTCTTTAACTGAGACATTTCCATTTCGGTGTGAAGGCAGCAATTTTGGGTGCATCATTATGAAATACTCAGAAAGGGTGGGGAGGGGAGAAAGAAGTTTTCTGTTAAAAGAAAGGTAGGCAACATCCCTGGAGGTATTTAAAAGACATGTAGATGTGGCGCTTAGAGACATGGTTTAGCGGTGGACTTGGCAGTGTTAGGTTTATACTTGGACTCCATCTTAAGCATCTTTTTCAACCTAAATGATTTTATGATTCTATGATTTGTGGTGTTTCCTTTTCTATTCTCCCTTTCTCTTTGCCTCTGGAGGTGGCATTTGGGCAACTACACAGAGGAAGACAAACAAAATGCAGAAATTAAACCTTTTGTCATTACAGTTTTAAGACTAATTTACAGGCATGCTGACTAGAAGCTGGGTATTCCAAGCCAGGAAAGTATTTTCTGCAGGCCCTCCTTTATACTCTAGTGGGAAGGCTGAGAGCTTTCAAACAAAAGCCAGGTAGCATTTAACTCACCAAATGGGTAGAGTAGGGATCCATAATAGACTTTGTGTTGCGTGATTTGGGCAAGTGTCCTGCTGTCTAATTGGAGGACTCCTGATAAACACCCATCCTTGAAAAATGATTATTTTTGAGTTGCAGACTAGCAATGTTTGAAAACTGGGGCAGAAAGGATTATTAAGTTGTCCCATTGCTCCCCAAAGCCCCTCCTGTGTGACTCTGAGACAGGGGTATCTTCAGTTACCTTTTCAACCTTAAATTTTACAGAACGAGCGAGCACAGAAACGAACTGGAATGAATGGAAGATGAGGAGGTTGTGTTTTGTGGCACTGAAGCTGCGGAGTGGGATAGGTCATGGACTACTACCCAGCACGGTAACAGTGAGACCTGGTCCCTGAATGAAGCTGAAGGGTTGGCTCCTCAACCTTACCATATCCGAAGTCGGCTCTTACAGGCCTCGCTCCCCTTTCAGGGATACTGCAAACAGAGTTCAGTTACTGGTTTAAAACAAAATAAGGTACAGTTGCCTTAAAGAGGACTTCGCATATGTAAAACTACCACCAGTGACGAGAAGAGCCATTACACATACACATACACATACAAAGTATGCTCTTGAGCACGGGCCTGATGGAACAGCTGGTCTGCAAACGTGAGGGCAGTGCCCTTCTTGCCTCTGAACTGGGACAACCACTGGTTCTGTCTTGCTGCACAAGCAGCTGTATCTGCAAATGCATAAACAGCTGTACAGTGCCTATAGCGGAAGTGTGTTTGGAGAGCTGCTCTAGGCTGAAGTGACTGCAACTTTTAAAAATATATATAGCATTTATTTTAAACAGCGTGTAATAAAGATTCCTGGGTCCAGGGACGGAGCCATTGAAAGGATTTTTCACTTCCCTAGTCTTGTGCCTTTCTCATCATTTTCTTACCTATGTTGTTTCCTTCCAACATTCAGTACCAGTGGTAACAGCAGATATTATTAAGTGCTAGATTAATGTTAATGCAGACTAAAATGTCTGATGTCTAGTATGAATATACTGGAATCAGATAGTATTGCTGGAAGCCATAAATCTGTATTTGATACATGCCACTGATATTTTTAGCTGCTCCTGGCAGAAGGCTTAGAGCTACCACGTAGCTGGAGTCTGTAGCTACCCTCCAAGACCACCAGCGGGAAATGTCCTGGCTCTGGCTTATTGTTTTGTAAAACAAAAAGTATGCATTGCTAATGTTGGTATATTGTTGGTGCAAAATCTTGGTGTGAGGAAGGGTGGTTGCATCTTGTAAAGCTAGGAGCAACGTGGGGTTGTTTTATACCAGTGCAGCAGTATGTGTCTTCCTTGGGTGTGACTACTGCCTTTCTCTCACGCAGTTTTTGCACAGCACGGGTGCCTGGCTGGTGGCAGTAGCAGAAAGGGAAAGTCTCCTTGTGCAGGAGCTGTGAGCTCCCCTGAGCAAAGCAAGGAAAGGCCGAGACCCGGGTCAGTTTAGCCTGGAGAAGAGAAGACTGAGAGGGGATCTCATCGATGCTTATCAGTATCCAAAGGGTGGGTGTCAAGAGGATGGTGCCCAGTGGCAGGACAAGGGGCAACGGGCACAAATGAACACAGGGAACACAGGAAGTTCATCTCAACACAAGGAAAAACTTCACTTTGAGCGTGGTGGAGCCCTGGCACAGGCTGTCCAGAGAGGCTGTGGAGTCTCCTTCCGGGAGATGCTCAACATGCAACTGGGTGCGTTCCCGTCCAACCTGCTCTGGGTGCCCCTGTTCTGGACTAGATGATCTCTGAAGGTCCCTTCCGACCCTTACTATTCTAAGATTCTGTGATCTACCTCTTGTGCACCTGCATCCCATCAGCCTAGCTTTTTGGTTTTCCTTATCGTTAAGCTATTCAGGCAGTTACTGAGACGAGCCCTGGTTCAACCATGAGGTGGCAGAGCCCGGTTGGAACCTCGCCCCGGAAAACTGCCGCCGCCCCTGTCCTTTGGCACCACCGGGCGCAGCTCCGCCCGCCCCTCTACGCCGGGGCCATCC